ACTGACGATAGTCCAGATGAGACTCTCCCACTCCTCGGTCACACTGACCCCCAGCCCCACCATCCTGTTGGCCACAGCTTCTGCCACATTCACACCTAGACATACAGTGGCTATAGTCCAATTCCTGTGAGTCTCTTCACCGAAGAGCCAGTCGAGAGCTTCTTGTGCGACATCAATCCCCTCTCTCAAATGTTGGAGACATATGGACTGGACACGTATCCACTCCATAGCTTGCTTGTACACACTCCAGCCCACTTTGTGGGTCAGAGAGAAACTGGGCGATTTGTGTTCTTGTAAAATAGATTTAAGACTGGCCAAACTTAGAGCGGGTGGGTGATGGACTTCCTCCTTGTCGAACGAGTAGCCCACACGAGTGTCGTGAGCTGCACCACAGAAACACACAACCATTGTGAAGGTTCAGCGAAACGTCTGACTGAAGGTACCTTGTTCACAATACACGTAGGTGACGAGAGACTGACTGAGTGTGGCTTCAGAGGTCAGTTTATAAACAAATGCTGGTAAGGGGGGGCGCGCCTTGGGTCACTGAGGTCACATCACGGGTGATGACCAATGGGAGGAGAATGTGCAGTAGTACTCAGGTGGTAACATCCTCCCACCTCCTATTCACGCCCCACCCCCCTCCCGTGTCTCATTTTTCACCTCATGTTAATTAATGTTTGGTAATGAGAAAATAAACCTCGAATTTAGGCAACTGATTCTTATTTGTTATTTTGATTCACCATTTTCCAATATTATTGAATGTATTAATACAGCCCGTAGGATAATTAGTTCTCCTTGTGTGTAATAATAAAGGGGAAGTGTCACATAATTTTGAATAATTATTTTAAAACTGCACATAATTTACATTTATGTTTACCTTTCACCTTATGAATAAATAACAAAACAATTATACATCTGATCTCTCTCTCTCTCTCCCCTACTGCCTTTTATTGTTAAGAAAATTATTTATTACTTTTCATTGGGATGAAACACCTTGTTAGGCGATCTAGATACAGCAACGTTCGTACTGTAAAAGACTTTACCTTCAGCAACACACTATGGACAAAACCGAATCTACTGTACTTTACTTCATGAAATACTCGGGAAGAATAAAATAAAACATGGTAGTGACTTAGGAAATAATAATGATAACAAAATACTTAGAATAACACTGAGAAACTGTTAGTGAAGAATACACCGTCCTGTAAAAGGGACCTGATTACTGAGATTAACCTGACCTGACCTGACCTGACCTTGTCGTTAGGCCATGGTGAAACGCTTGCGAGAATCTTACACTACCAGTCCTTTAACAAATTAATTCAATAATTCTATAATATGTCCGAGTGAGTGAAGGCTGAGTCATATCATAGTGAGGCTGGGAGAGTTGGAGTCAGGTAGGTTCAGGTTAGGTGAGTTGGAGTCAGGTAGGGAAGACCAGGTAATGTGGTGGTCAGGTAAGGGAGACTAGTTGGATCACCTGAAGAATCATCACCCTACCCCTTGATATAGATAATATTGCAAAATATTCACAACTAAATACAAAATACTTTACTCAATATTCCAAAATACACGATGCATATTACAATGGGTAGGTTAGGTTAGGTTAGGTCTGAAGATTGACCACCATGGAGGGTCCTGACCTCACCTGAAGAATGGTCACCAGCCTAACTCTGGGGGTAACGATTCTTCAGGTGATCCGACCAGGTAATGTGGGATCAGGTAGAGGATGTTAGGAGGTGCAGGGGAGGAGGTAATAACTTATGCAGAGTAATATTTGTGTAAAATCACAACCGCTGACTCTACTAACTAACTAACTAACAAACCTCTAACCTCACCTCACAGCCGAGTGCCGGACAAAACCCACCGGTCAAAATCCCCCTGACAACCCCCCCCCCAACCCCCGTAGGACAAAAGCCATCATTATTATATTAAAGGTTTTTTGGGGATCACCTGAAGAATTGTCACCCCAGAGTTTGGCAGGGTGACAATTCTTCAGGTGGGATATCCTGGGGTGATGAATCTTCAGGTGATCCAATTATACGAACCAGAGATGGAGAGGGACTATAAGAAGCAAAGAAAATAAGATCGTATATGACGAAGAAGTCAATAATGTGGGTAGTGTCTGTTAACTAACTACAGAACGGTAATCAGGGAGTTGAGGTGAGAAACGAAAGGAAATAAAACATTTTTCTCTTATTTCATAATTATTTATTTGCTCGGTGACGTGGGCTGTTTTTCGTACCATCAACTGTATGGCCTTGCCTGAATGTCGGATGATTTGGGTGACGTCTTCGTTATAGGCTGTGTATTCTCCTTGGGTAGGAAGGAGGTGGCACGTCCGACGTGTATATCGTGTACATAAGAACATAAGAAAATAAGCAGTCTGCAATAGGCCGGTTGGCCTGTGCATGGCAGCTCCTGTCGAGAGTTACTACCACTCTCTATCATCCATGAATCTATCTTGCCTCCTTTTGAAACTTTCCAGAGTTCCCGCACTTACTACAAAGTTGCTAAGCTTGTTCCACTCATCCACCACCCTATTTGTGAACCAGTTTCTTCCTATCTCCCTCCTAAACCTAAACTTATCCAACTTGAATCCGTTGCTCCAAGTCCTATCTTGCTCGGATATTATAAGAACTTTATCTATATCCCCTTTATTGATTACTTTCTCCCACTTAAATACTTCTATCATATCTCCCCGCACTCTTCGTCTTTCTAGGGAATGCAAGTTAAGTTTCTTTCGCCTATCCTGATATGGAAGGTTTCTAAGTCCCGGAATCATTTTTGTCATTCTTCGCTGCACCGACTCTAGTGAATTTATATCCATTCTATAATAGGGGCACCAGAACTGAGCCGCATAAACGATGTGCGGACTAACTAGCGCAAGATATAGTTGCAATAAGACCTCTGCACTCGTGTTACTTACACTTCTAGATATAAAACCCAATACTCTGTTTGCCTTATTTCGATCAATAACGCACTGTTTTCTAGGCCGTAGGTCCGGGCTTACAAGCACCCGTACGTCTCTTTCACAAGTCGACTTCTCTAGGTTGATGTTGTTAAGGCTGTATACATTATAAGTAATTGTTCTTCCAATATTAAGTACGCTGCACTTGCTGGTGTTGAATTTCATTTGCCATTTTTCAGACCACCCCTGCAGTTTATTTAGATCCTCCTGGAATGCATTTGCATCCTGTACAGCTTGATGCTTGGGGAAGTTGCAAAGAAGCGGAGTAATGTTGTTGAGCTTGGTTGATTATTTTGGTACGTCCCATAATACTTCGTTACATTGATCTCTAATGTGCATTGCGTATATATTTTTCTCAGCAATTTATATGAGTGAAATATACAAATCATCCGAAAATATATAATAAATCACATTACATACAACTCCAGTGTATGGCACATGAGTGATATTGACGTGCTGTTATGTTTTTGGTTTTGAGTGTATCTTGACACTAACTCTTACCCAACACTTATAGCCGACAAAATAATGTATCAAACTGCATTTCCCAGTTTTCGGTCAATTCTAAAAGCATATTTATGCCTTTCTCTAAATATTACCCAACATCGACATCAATTTTCGCCGTGTACCAGCGTTTAATTAATCTGTTTCGGGATCCTTCACAATCCTTGCTAAAGTCGAAGTAAATAACAATTCAAACATTATCATTGTCCACAGCTTGGAAAACGCTAGAATGTTTTTTAGCTTATTTTTGTGATTCGAACATCCAAATGACAGTCACATTCAGTGTCTTTAATCAAATCTGGCTCTTAGAATTTACTGAAAATTGAATTTGGAGTTACTGTAATGTTTACAGTAATATAAATTTGGGGAGCAGCACACTTTGCCATTTGGACACAGTTGCTGGACATGACAACAAAGAGTGTCTACCTGACAAAGTTTATAATACTTTTGGTGATTAGTGTTCCCGGTGAGGTCAGTTAAGCTAAACCCCTTCCCCTTTAAGAGTTATCTTACACCATTATAAACCGCTCTCCGAATATCTGTGGCTGGGTGGAATTTATCATCTCAGTTTCTCCATACAAGTTCAGATATTATTCCTCTTTCATCAGTGTTTCTCTTATACTGTTTTATTTCCTTTCGTTTCTCACCCCAACTCTCTGATTATCGTTGTACAGTTACTTAACATTCTCTACCCACATTAATTACTTCTTCCTCAAATACGATGTTATTTTCTTTGCTTCTTATAGTCCCTCCCCATCTCTGGTTCGTATATTTTGTTGGCCCTTGTGTTCTGTATCCTTCATTTTAGATCTCCTCTAACATGTCTACAATGTTTAATTCCTGTTGTCATCAGGTATAAAGTACTGTAGCTGAGTTAATTTAAAAACATCAGTCATATTTGTATTATATTTCAGTTGCCTCGCCGCATAACACCTTCTCTCATCCACCATCCTGAGGAGCTGCAACAAGGAGACCCAACACAGACTCTCCCTAACACACATCTCATACTAAGGAACACAAACACCTCGTAAACATAATTACATTTATTCCTTCAAATACAATATAAAAGTCGTCACATATTTTTAACTACAAAGTAAATTAACATTGATATAAATTCTACAAAGTTTATCATGTAAAACAATAAAATGTCTAGATAAATTATATATATATATATACAGTATATGTATGCTTGTATACAACGTCATCACTTAACATTAATACAGTTGTATTTATAATTATGTATGATCACAAAGCTAAAATAGGTCTAAGAATATCAACACACACATAACGTTTATCACGAATAATCTTTGGTGATTGTAAATCTGTATATCGTTCATGTCGACACTGCAAGGAACACGCCACCACTCTTTTCATCTTGTACAATAATCACCTAAAGTACAACAATAAACAAGACAATATACCTTGCGTGCTAAAACCACACGCGACATATACACTGACTGGGTGAATGCTGGTGTCACGAGAGACATTGTCATTACGTATTTTCTCCACCCCTACCATTTTTATTTCTTTGCTAGTCTTTCGGATGTGCAGCTGCAACGTGGCGTTTGAGGTAATCAGCTCGACTAAAAGCACAGCTACACATTTGACATTTGTATCGTTTATTTGAACCATGGCACTTCAGATGTCTCTTGAGATGCCCCTTTGTTGTCGCTGTAATGCCACACTCTGGACAAATGGATTTGAACTTTGGATTGAATGTCTGTGATGCAGGTGGGCGGTTTAGCTGACTATGGGCGAGACTCATGGGAACCATTTGACACGCCTGGCTGCCATCTGTCATTTGCATGATGAAATAATTGCCGGATGTAGAAGTGGTAGAAGGTAGAATGTACAGAGGTGGGAGTGTAGGTTGACGAGAGGAAGGTGGGAGAGGGAGAGAAGTGTTGGAAGAGTCTGGTTGGCTAGCATGGCTAACGGTGCACACAGAAGCTGTAAGGGAGGCGTCACAGCCACTAGGGTTAATGTTGTACTCAGCGGACATGTGGCTGTTAGAAGAGTGGACAGGTGGACCTGTAGTGGAGGGTTGGTAGCCCCCAGCACCGTAATCTGGGAACCCGCTAACATTTTCTTTGGTTGTCTGTGATGGACTGTTGGCTGCCAATGTACCTGGAGGATCAAATATAATTAACCAACATGACACAAAAAAGGCTCAGAAAATATAAAAGAAATATAAAAGAGTAAAATATAGTCAGGCTTATTCTCACTATTCTTAAAACTTTCATCAACTTTACACTCACATTGATATTTGTTGTTATAAGATATATGTCATTTTCATCGTTCCTCAGTAGATAAATGAAAGCATTTACTACTTACAGAAGTAGATAAACAGTTATTGTAGAGTTTACCGACAAGAAATGCGACATGCGATCTTCAGAACTAACTCCAGTACTTACTATCAAGAACAGCAGCAAAAGCTTGTGGGTTGAAGTCTTCTTGTGAACATTCAAGAAACTTCCACGAGGACGCCAGTAGGCTCTCACCTCCAACGCTACTACTGTTGGAAGGTTCAAGGTGTCCAACTTGGCCCATGTTGTAGCCCTGAGCGTTTGAAGGATCGGGGTGGCCCGGCTGACTTGTACTGTCAATAGACGCTCTTAAGGCATTATAGCCACCAAGGTTATTGTCGGACTCAGCAGACATGTGGCCAGCTGGCCTGGTAGATGAGTGAACAGGTGGACTTCTGGTGGAGTGTTGGTGGCCTCCAACACCGTAATCTGGGAACCCGCCAACAATTTCTTTAGTGGTCTGCAATAGACTGTTTGCTGCCACTGTACCTGGAGGATGAACGTTTATTTTAATATATGAGAGAGAGAGACAAGCACACACAAACACCAGTGCACAGAAGTTCACTCATGTTAAAAGTGCTAAAAGACAGTTTTATTCACAACAGTTATCTAATTATCTCCAAAAAGTTACCATTGGAAAGAACTTTTTTGAATATCTTTCTTACTACCTTTCATTAACTTTTTTCTTCTCTCGAATGGTGACAATTTGTTCTCCCTTAGTTATGACCACCAACCTCTCATCCCACTAATAACTCGTCATTTTGTAAGATTCATATTCTCTTGTATCCACTGATCTAAATTGAACTTTAACTGACAATATAAATTTGCGAATGATAAGAAATTAACAATTAGTGTGTCACTGACAACACCGGGCCACACTAACCCCACTGGGATACTGACAACACTGGAACACTAAAAACACTGGTACAACTGACAACACTGGGACCCTGACAATAATAGAACAGTAATAACACTACAACAATAACCCCACTGGGATACTGACAACACTGGGACGCTGACATTAATAGAACAGTAATAACACTACAACAATAACAACACTAGGATACTGACGACGCTGGGAAACTGACAACACGGGGACAATGACAAAACCGGGGAACAGATGGACAAGGGAACATTACCACTGACTTTCATCAACCTTATATTTATATCAAGAGTTGTTGTTATAATATTTAAGACTTGTTTATCGTTTCAGTGACAAAGATTATAGTGTGTTTATCAGTTACAGAAATAAATAAACTAGTATTGCGTCGACTATTGACACGAAATATAATATGTGGACTTGAGAACTAACTCGAGTACTTACCATTAACAACAGGAACAGCTTGTGAGTACTTTGTGGGGGAGTCGTCACAGAAGATGATGTCTTGAAAGAAGTGTTTAACAAGCTCCTGTGAGGACGCCAAAAGAAGATCGCTCTTGGTACACGACTCCTCCCCTTCATGGTCCTGTGGAGGAACTGACGATAACGAATATTATTAACATTTACTTCTATATGATTGTAACAAGACCAAAAGCAACTGACACAAATAAGACAAGCACTCTGCTGGTGGTACTGAATAATATTACATAACAAACGTACACGAATCTTTACAGCTTACATTCAAAAGATTTGTCTGACCCCGCCCCAACATCGTCATCCTCACTATACCAACCAACTGGGAACCGTGTACATGGCTGACAGGATTAATTTAGAGTAACCTTGGCCAGTTATTTTTTTCTTTGCAAAGTAAAATTCACAATTATGACTACAGCTGAGAGTCTTCAATCTACATCATAGTGACACATTAGGACCTTCGCACTACATTTATGAACTGGTAATATATATATACAAGTATACTCTTTCTAACATAAATACACATTTATGACAACCAGGGGAGACAAAATCGTCTCGATAATTAAGCTATATTTAGTGGTCTGATGGACGGCATCTCGCATCCACTTACTATTTCCACAACCTGGCTACAACCCCACAACAACAACTATACAGCCACTGGTAGATGCCTATATGGGTTCATAGATGAGGACAAGAAACTAAAAAAAAATGAGATGAGCTAACCTGCAGGAGTGGGTGTAGGAGCGGTCTTAAATGTATCACTGCCGACCAAGTCTGCCATGACGTAAATGTATCACTAACTTTAGCACACGCGATAGAGTCCAGGTTCCGTTCGTCAATATTCTCAGAAGCAGAGACGCCTTCCCTTTATCCTTCCTCGTCGCCAGATGTGACCCCTCTTTGACCTGATCCCTCGGTGACCTTCAGCCAATCACATGCCACCTTACCTTTTTGGGTTTATTACCAAAGATCCTCCACCACGACACAGTCTCATTCACTAGCTCAACCTCGGACATCTTTATATATACAATCTGTACATAGGTATCTAAGCAATTTGTATATTCGAAATATACAAGTTACCCGAAAATATATAATAAATCATATTAGTAGTAGGTAGTAGGCAGCTACCAAACAGGGAGGTACTACCGCCTGGGAAGATATTGGAAGCATAATGTGTTGTCTAATGGTAGACCCTGCTGCCATATGGCATCACGAAAATTGTGACCAAGTCCCAGGTTGCTCATCTGTCTTTTTACCTCATTTACACACAATTGCAGGTCTCAGTTGTTTCTCTTACTTGACAGCGTTTCTCACTATTGATTTTTTCTTCTCTTTTTTTATTTCTTTATAGTTCTTTATTATGTTTATTATTATTATTACAGTATTATTATTATTATTATTATTACAGTGTTATTATTATTATTACAGTGTTATTATTATTAATATTATTATTATATATAACTTTTTATACTAAATTTTATTTACTATAAATAATTATTATGTTTTCGTCCCCCAGGCTGCTGATCTGACTTTCTGCCTCATTTACACACAATTGCAGGTTTTCAATTGATTCTCTTACTGTTGATAACACAACAAACTGTACTTATAAGAACATAAGAATGGAGGAAACTGCAGCGGGCAGTCCCATTTACACACAACTCCTGTTGCTCATATTTCCATCCAAACTATGTTTAAAGTTATCAAGCGTATTCGAGTTAATGATGATGTTTGGTAACTTGCTCCATTCATCCACTACTCTATTTCTAAACCAATGTTTACCTATTTCGCTTCTAAATCTAAATTTGTCTAATTTATAACCATTGTTACAAGTTCGCTATTGGTTGGATAGCTTGAATTCCTTTGTAATGTCCCCTTTGTTTAGCCCTGACTTCCATTTATACACCTTTATCATACCGCCCCTCACTGTACGTCTCTCGAGGGAGTGCAAATTAAGATGCTCTAACCTGTCTCTGTATTTAAGGTCCCTACTCCCCGGGATTAGTCTGGTCATTCTCCTCTGAATTCTTTCAAGGGATTCTATATCTAGTCTGTAATACGGTGACGAGAATTGAACTGCGTAATCACAAGCACAAGATATAGTTTTAGGATGACCTCTCTAGTCCTGTAACTAACACTCCTTTGTATGAACCCAAGTACTTTATTAGCCTTGTTTCGAGCAAATACACACTGTTTACCTGGCTTAAGATTCCTACTTATCATTACTCGTAAATCTTTCCCACATTCGGATTTGTCTATAACATCGTTGTTCATCTGATATCTGGTTTCTCTGTTTCCATCTCTTGACTGAATAGTTTACATTTGTCCACATTGAATTTCATCTGGCATTTTCAGACTATTCGATATATTTGTTTAGATCTTCCTGTTGTTTTGCGGGGTCTTCGTCTGATTTGTTTACACGCCATATTTTAGTGCCATCAGCAAATTTACTTACGTTGCTGTCTACGCCGATATCTATGTCGTTTATGTATATAATAAATAATAATGGTCCAAGTACTGAGCCTTGGGATACTCCACCAGTGACGTCACTCCAATCGGATTTAATGCCGCTAATGTTCACTCGCTGTTTCCTGTAATGTAACTACTCACTAATCCATTTTAGAATATCTCCTCCAATGTTTTTAAATTAACTCATCTACAGTACTTTATACGTGATGACAACAGGAATAAAACACTGTAGACATGTTAGAGGAGATCTAAAATGAAGGCTAAAAAAAATATACGAGCCAGAGATGGGGAGGGACTATAAGAAGCAAAGAAAATAAGATCATATATGAGGAAGAAGTAAATAATGTGGGTAGAGTATGTTAAGTAACTGTACAACGATAATCAGGGAGTTGATGTGAGAAACGAAAGGAAATAAAACAGTATAAGTGAAACACTGATGAAAGAAGAATAAGATCTGAACTTGTATGGAGAAACTGAGATGGTAAATTCCACCCAGCCACAGATATTCGGAGAGCGATTTATAATGGTGTAAGATAACTCTTAAATGGGGCAGGTATTGAGCTTACCTGACCTCACCGGGAACACTAATCACCAAAAGTATTATAAACTTTGTCAGGTAGACACTCTTTGTTGTCATGTCCAGCAACTGTGTCCTAATGGCGAAGTGTGCTGCTCCCCAAATTTATATTACTGTAAACATTACAGTAACTCCAAATTACATTTTCAGTATCTTCTAAGAACCAGATATAATTAAAGACACTGAATATGACTGTCATTTGGATGTTTGTCTCTCAAAAATAAGCTGAATTTTTTTCTAGCGTTTGAGTTGTAATTTTCTTCGACTTTAGCAAGGATTGTGAAGGATCCCGAAACAGATTAATTAAACGCTGGTACACGGCGAAAATTGATGGCGATATTGGGAAATATTTAGAGAAAGGCATAAATAAACTTTAAGAATTGACCGAAAACTGGGAAATGCTGTTTGATACATTATTTTGTCGGCTATAAGTGTTGGGTAAGAGTTAGTGTCAAGATACACTCAAAACAAAAATCATAACAGCACGTCAATATCACTCATGTGCCATACACTGGAGTTGTATGTAATGTGATTTATTATATATTTTCGGATGATTTGTATATTTCACTCATATAAATTGCTTAGAAAACTATATACGCAATGCACATTAGAGATCAATGCAACGAAGTATTATGGGACGTAGCAAAAGCATTCAACAAGGTCTGGTGGCTCTTAGGGCTCAAATACAAAATAATCAACCAAGCTCAACAACATTACTCCTCTTCTTTGCAACTTCCCCAAGCATCAAGCTGTACAGCGGAGTACCACAGGGAAGTAACCTCTCGCCAACACTCTACACGATATACACGTCGGACATGCTACCTCCTTCCTACCCAAGGAGAATACACAGCGTATAACGATGACGTTACCCAAATCATCCGACATTCAGGCAAGGCCAAACAGTTGATGGTACGAAAAACAGCCCACGTCACCGAGCAAATAAATAATTATGAGAAAAGAGAAAAATGTTTTATTTCCTTTCGTTTCTCACCTCAACTCCCTGATTATCGTTATGCAGTTAGTTAACAGACACTACCCACATTATTGACTTCTTCGTCATATACGATCTTATTTTCTTTGCTTCTTATAGTCCCTCTCCATCTCTTGTTCGTATAATTGGATCACCTGAAGATTCATCACCCCAGGATATCCCACCTGAACAATTATCACCCTGCCAAACTCTGGGGTGACAATTCTTCAGGTGATCCCCAAAAAAACTTTAATATAATAATAAGAACATAAGAAAATAAGGAGTCTGCAATAGGCCGGCTGGCCTGTGCATGGCAGCTCCTGTCGAGAGTTACTACCACTCTTTATCATCCATGAATCTATCTAGCCTCCTTTTGAAACTTTCCAGAGTTCCCGCACTTACTACAAAGTTGCTAAGCTTGTTCCACTCGCCCCCCACCCTATTTGTGAACCAGTTTCTTCCTATCTCCCTCCTAAACCTAAACTTATCCAACTTGAATCCGTTGCTCCGAGTCCTCTCCTGCTCGGATATTATAAGAACTTTATATATATCCCTTTATTGATTTCTTTCACCCACTTAAATACTTCTATCATATCTCCCCGCACTCTTCGTATTTTTAGGGAATGCAAGTTAAGTTTCTTTAACCTATCTTCATATGGAAGGTTTCTAACTCCCGGAATCATTTTTGTCATTCTTCGCTGCACCGACTTTAGTGAATTTATATCCATTCTATAATAGGGGCACCAGAACTGAACCGCATAATGGAAGGCTTTTGTCCAACGGGGGTTGGGGGGAGGGGTTGTCAGGGGATTTTGACCGGTGGGTTTTGTCCGGCACTCGGCTGTGAGGTGAGGTTAGAGGTTTGTTAGTCAGTTAGTTAGTAGAGTCAGCGGTTGTGATTTTACACTAATATTACTCTGCATAAGTTATTACCTCCTCCCCTGCACCTCCTAACATCCTCTACCTGATCCCACATTACCTGGTCGGATCACCTGAAGAATCGTTACCCCCAGAGTTAGGCAGGTGACCATTCTTCAGGTGAGGTCAGGACCCTCCATGGTGGTCAATCTTCAGACCTAACCTAACCTAACCTACCCATTGTAATATGCATCGTGTATTTTGGAATATTGAGTAAAGTATTTTGTATTTAGTTGTGTATATTTTGCAATATTATCTATATCAAAGGGTAGGGTGATGATTCTTCAGGTGATCCAACTAGTCTCCCTTACCTGACCACCACATTACCTGGTCTTCCCTACCTGACTCCAACTCACCTAACCTGAACCTACCTGACTCCAACTCACCTAACCTGAACCTACCTGACTCCAACTCACCTAACCTGAACCTACCTGACTCCAACTCTCCTAACCTGAACCTACCTGACTCCAACTCTCCCAGCCTCACTTTGATATGACTCAGCCTTCACTCACTCGGACATATTATAGAATTACTAAATTAATTTGTCAAAGGACTGCTAAGTTTTTTGGTTCATTCCTGTAAGATTCTCGCAAGCATTTCACCATGGCCTAACGACAAGGTCAGGTCAGGTCAGGTTAATCTCAGTAATCAGGTCCCTTTTACAGGACGGTGTATTCTTCACTAACAGTTTCTCAGTGTTATTCTAAGTATTTTTTTATCATTATTATTTCCTAAGTCACTACCATGTTTTATTTTATTCTTCCCGAGTATTTCATGAAGTAAAGTCCAGTAGATTCGGTTTTGTCCACAGTGTGTTGCTGAAGGCAAAGTCTTTTACAGTACGAACTTT